GTCAGTCCAGGGCCAGTGAAGTAGTAGTGTCAGTGTTATATCCCAGGTGCTCCTGAGTGCTGACCAAATAATATACTGGATTGTGGGCAGCTGGGATAATGTACTAATCGATCTTTAGAATTAGTGTCTTACTGACCCAACTCCCGTCGAGTGTTATAACTGTGTCGTCTGGGCTTGAAAAACACACACACACACACACACACACACACACACACACACACACACACACACACACACACACACACACACACATACACTTGACGTTACACCCACTTATTGCATGTGATCTGTAAGAAATTAAATTTTCGTTTTTACAATCTGAAAACTAACTATTTTGAGGTTTTTAAGGCAATCGTATACCTGAATAAAAGCTTCAAAAACTGAGTTGTACTGTACCTCCATCAGGTAAATGGAGAAGCAATTTGTTTTTGCTGTTGTAGTTTTTGTTAGGTCAACTGGAGAGGTTTGTTAAATTGTACCAGCTATAAAGGCGACTGGGGCAGAATAACGTGACTGTTTTCTATGATTATATATTGGCCATCACAGAGTCGTTATTAACGTGCACAAAAACAGAACGCAATCTTCCTCGTCAGGACTCTTAACTTCTCTCTTGTCATGAAAATATTACTGAACGTATGTTTCTTATCCTCACATTCAGCACAACTTTCAGTAGCCAAAGAAAAACTGTGAGAAAATGAATAATATTGGACTTCACTGGAGGGTTTACCTTCTGACTCACACCTATTAGTGTCTGTCTCTAAAGCTGTGATCATGACGATTGACCCTAAAAAAATACCAGTTTTAGAGGATGGCATTCTAATTGTGTGTGTGTGTGTGTGTGTGTGTGTTCACAGGGTGGTGTAATGCACCTAGTGTGGCAGCATTATGTTAGTGTTAAGGTGCAATATAATATTATACTCCTCCTCAGCAAGTTTGCTGCACACTACCTCACTATCACCAATACTTTGTTTAGGCAGGCCGACAAGTTCAAGGGTTCGTGGCAACACCCACGATTCAAACACTGGCATCTCATTGACTACATCAATGTTAGAGAAAGAGATCGCCTAGATGTCCTCATCACCCGAGCTATGCATGGCTCAGACCACTACAACACTGATCATTGGCTTGTCAGAGCCATGTTCTCACTTTACGTTGCCCCAAAACGGCGAAGGCAACAAGCATCCAGAAGAAGTTTTAACACTAAGCGTCTGGAGGATCCAGCAGTAGCATTTGCTTCAGAGAGCAGCTCGAACATGGGCTCACAAACAACCCGACAACAAACAACCCAAATCCCAGTGCCGAATGGGATATTCTCGACACAGTCATGACAAAAACCTGCAGTGAGACCCTCGGCCAGATCGAAAGAATACACCAAGACTGTTTTGATGAAAATAATCCGGAAATCAATGTACTCGTCGATGATAAACGTGCTGTTTTAACTAACTGGCAGAGCAAACCTCAGTTTCGAACCAAAGCCTATACCATCCGAAAGAAGAAAACGGCGGCCCAGTGGGAACTTCGCAATTTAAGGAACGACTGGTTTAAAAATAAAGCATATGAAACGCAAAAACTTGCGCATCAGCACAAGATGCGTGAATTTTTTAAGTTCACTAAAACATTTTATAGGCCAATCGCTCATGGTGCAGCCCCCTCCACTCATCAGATGGTAACCCCTAATGAAAGACGAAGAAGGCATCCTTCAGCCCTGAAAAGAGCACTACCATTCCCTGCTCTATCGAAACACCGATATGGATGTCCTGAATTACCCAGCAGGTCCCTCAACATCCACAGCTGGCCCACCTCAGCTATCCTCCATCCCTGGATGAGGTAGCTACTGACATTGAACAGGTGAAAAATTACAAAGCCTCGGGGGCCTGATGAAATCCCAGCCGTGGTGTATAAAGGAGGAGGACCTTTGCTTACCAGCTGTCTTCACTCTCTCCTGGAGAGTCTGGGTTCGTCTTGATACCTCCAAAATGTTCTATACTACTGTAGGTATACACAAACACTTGTTATCTTAAAAGTAGGTTCTTATTCTCGTGCGGGAGATATATACAGAGGTGGACCAAGAGACTCGCTTCCGCACCACAAGGACTGGCAGTCTTCACTCTATGTATTACTGCGCGCTGGCATGTACAGATCCCAGCATTCACAAGCTGAATACATAAAGTATAAATATGATAATTTATATACATAACATGGTGCATAATAAATGGAAATATTACATAGGATTAATACATGTTCTGCAATACTTTACTATACATAATTAATAAGAGTAATATAAGGATACACAGCTTAAGGTACTACTTTGTGTCCATATCATACAGAGAGCATATGAGAAAAAGAGGAAACTTTCTCCCAGAATCTCAATGTGGCTTTAGACCATCACGTGGCAACACTGACATGATCTTTGCTGCCCTCGAAATACAGGAAAAGTGCAGAGAATAGGGTCGTGACCTGTACATGGCCTTTATCGACCTAACCAAGGCCTTCGACTCGGTCAAGAGGGAAGCCCTCAGCCGTTTTGGCTGCCCACCAAAATTCATCTTCGTTGTGAAGCAACTCCACGATGGCATGAATGGCAGTGTCCTGCACAATGGCACCCAGTCCAATTTCTTCCCCATCCAAACGGGAGTAAAACAAGGATGTGTACTGGCACCAACTCTCTTTTCCATTTTCTTGGCTGCCTTCCTTACTCGTGCCAGTGCCATTTTAGCCAGCGGGATGAACATCCAGTACCGGATAAAGGGTTTTTTCAACATAAGACGACTCCAGGAACAAAGGTGTCAGCAGCTTCCATTACTGAACTTCAATATGCAGACGACCTCACACATGTCGCTCACACTGAACGCGACCTACAGGAGATCATGAACACCTTCGCAGTTGCGTATGCACACTTCGGCTTTGAGGTGTATGTGCATAAGACTCAGATTCTCTTTCAGCCTTCCTCTGGTTCAGCCACACCTCCACCATCCATCCAGCTTAACGGTACTGCCCTCTCTAATGTTACCCACTCTCAGTATCTCGGCTCTCAACTGTCCACCACCGCGGACATCGATGAAGAGATTCAACATCGGATCAGATGTGCATCTCAAGCCTTTGGCAGGTTCCATACCCGTGTCTTCAGCTGTAGGGAGCTGAAATTTTTTACAAAATTGCACGAATATCGAGCAATGGTCCTCCCAACCCTGCTATATGGCAGCGAGGCACTTCAAGGCACTTGAAAACTTTCACCAATGTAGTCTACATTCCATCCCCTGAGTTCGCTTGGAAAACAAGAGAACAAATGCCAGTATTCTCGCTGACACCAACTGTAGGTGCATCGAGGCTACCATTATCCATGAACAACTACGTTGGACTGGCCATGTTACCCGCATGGACGACAGTCACAGGAGACTGCCAAAGCAGCTACTTTACGGTCATCTAACAAATGGTAAACGTAACCTAACGGGTAACCTGAAAAGTGCCAAATCGACCCTCTCACCTGGGAGACGATTACTTCACACCGTAATGCGTGGAAGAGCACCACACGGGAAGGTTTCCACATTTTCGAGTTAGCCCGACTGCATATTGAGGCAGACAAGCGCCAACGCCGGAAAGACGCTGCCGCCGCCCTACCACTGGGTGTAACCCCCTACACGTGTAACATCTGTGGACGACCCTGCCGATCCCGTATCGACCTCTTTAGTCACCTCTGAGCTCACCAACGAAGGTGACATCCCTCATAACTCATATCATTGTATCATAGCTGAATGATCGTCATACTCGATTCCGAGTGACAGCAAAGTACAAGTCGTAGTTATAGTGTGTGTGTGTGTGTGTGTGTGTGTGTGTTTGCGCGCGTGCGCGCCTTATGTGGCTATGTTGCTGACACATTAACTTAGTAAGATACGTCCTTAACTTTATATACTGACCGACTCAACACACTTAGCCGTGTGAATATGAGGATGTGGTCATCAGGTGCCTCAAGGTTAATGATCACACCACTCCATATATTATTATTATTATTATTATTATTATTATTATTATTATTATTATTATTATTATTATTATTATTATTATTATTATTATTTGTTTATTTACTACCCCATGCCCTGATGTGGGTCAGTGACCTGTGCCCGAGTGGGCTAATCCCCGTAAAAAAATAAATAATAAATAAATAAATAAATAAATAAAAATAGTTTGTTTTCCTGTCAGTATGTCTTGTCTTACTATTCACCTATAACAACACATTTTTTTGGGATGTCTGCTGAAAGTGTACACGCATATGACCCATATAATAATCCTTGCCATATAAAGGCTTTCAGCAGCCTTTTTCTCAAACTGAAGTTAATGTCTCCTTATAGTGGGTCTTTTAGATTATTAAATGCTGTTTTTCCTTAAACTATTCTTATTTTGATTTCTTCCGGACATCTACCATCACAGGTAATGTTATTTCTGAAATACACAAAATTTACTACTTCTTTAAGTTCCCTGTTGCCTACCATATTTTGTTTTCAAATTTGAAAGATCTTTTGTCTTTACAACATTGACTTTAAACCATATTTTTCACCTTTTCCACCAATATGTTAAAAAAAATTAATGCCTCTTCACTATCTGTGAATCAATTAGTAAGTTCATTATTTACAAGCGCTGCAGCCTCCTATAGTAGAGATATTTTAAAATCCTATAACTTCTTAATTAATGCCTATTTTTTCCAAGATCTCAATAAGTTTCTTATGCTTTACCTTATCAAAAGGTTTTTTTTTAAATAAATAAAGCAGATGTACAAATTTCTTTGGACCTCTAAAGGCCTTTCACTCAAAATTATCAAACCAAACATCGCTTCTCTGGTTAATTTTCCCTTTCTAAATCAATTTTGTTCTTCATATAACTCACTTTCTATTTTGAACTTTATTCTACTTAGAATTATGATTTAATAAAACTTTGTAGGCATGACTTATTAAGCACTCTAAGACTCCTGGCTTTTTAGGTAATTATACAAATTTTATTTTATGAAATCACTGGGAAGGCCTCATTATTTTGAAGTACATAGAATCACATATTTTAGTGAAACGTTTTATCCCATTCTTGTTCATTTGTTTTATAATTTCTGCTGGAAGCTGATCAACCCTACAAACTTCATCATGTTTCAGTTTGCTCACAGCTGCCTCAACTTCTGTTTCCAGTATTGGCATTTCGATCTTTAATGCCTTTTTCTTTCTTACCTCTACTTTATCCTTATCATTGTATAGTTCTTCTACGTACTCAGCCCATCTCTCTTTTACTTCTGCTTCAAACAGGATCGTATTGACTTTATACTTTTAATAGCCCCAACCCATTTATTTATTTTTTCTGGTTCATTTGTTGAATCTTTCTGACATTTCCCTATAATTATGACTTCTGACATCATCTTCAATCTCCTTGCATTTTCCTTCTAGATCATCTTTCTTGGCCTGTCTGCATTCCCTTTGAATTGCTTTGCTTTTTGTATGTAAGCCTCATTTTATTTTTCTATTTCTTCGTCTAGCTATTTTCCTTAAAATTTAATTTATCATCCACTTACCTTTAGCCTAGTTCCTCCTATGCCCGATAAGTTTTTCGCCAGTCTCTAACATTACTTTTTTTGTAAATACTAAATTGTTGCCCTGGTCCTTGTTCATCAAAATCACCCTCTAGTAAATCTAAGAAGAAATAAAATCGGTTGAAATTTATAAGCTAACCCTGCCCCTATTTTCAGTTTACCTTGGACCCATTTGATTTTTTTCCATGGTGTTGTTTAAGCCGTGTATTTAAAATCATCAGCTTGTTTTTCTTATAATATACTGCCAGATTCTGGAGTCACTTATTCTAAGGAGGATAACTTAACTATAGTCTTAATTTTAAGGGTTGCTGCCACCAGATCCCCTCTGGGCAGTATGTCGCTCGTTAGGTAGCGGGCAGTGTGGACTAGGCATTGAATTAGGTTTTTCATTGACCAGATCGATAAGGGGAAAGAAGGGTGAAACCATAACATGTCTTAATTAATTTATTCCTTATAAAACCTACTGGTAAAAAAAACATACAAGTGAGTTGGCCTTCCTCAGAAGAACAACGAAGATGTTGGTTACCCTGCTCGGCACTAGACGTCTTACATTAATTGCATGTCATCCACATACTTATGGCATAACAATCCGTGACCTCCTTACCTCGGCCATTCCTTCTTACACTACCCCTTAACACGACAGACTGCTCCACCTGTATGGAATATAGCACCGTAGGTTATCGTACATAGTAGTACCATCTCACCTCCCTGTAGCACCATCTCAACACACCTGTTACACTCCACACCTGCAAGTAGGGGACTCCTTGTAATTTCTAGGTATACATATCAGGCACCTCGTTCGCACATCGCCCTTGGTGGGTAGAGACGAGGGCTTCACCAAGAGACATACCAGTACTATTTCTACGCCTGGTATTATAGGTCGCTCCAAGTGACGACCGCGGAGTTTCTCAAGCGTTTCCTTATTTGTTCCTACTCATTTGGGGTGGTATGCTGGGAATCCACAGGTTCACAGTGGATTGGCATAGCTGGGAGTAGTCACCACCTGGTGGGACGCTCACGGGGATAATGGCCGCCGCCCAGCAAGGCACTCCGACCGACCGCATGGGACCTGAGGTGACGGTAGAACGTAGGACACTGAGAAATAATGCCTGATGGGCGGTTATCACACACCCTAACACATTAACACTTATACATCAGGCAAAGCTTTAAACTGTAATAACTGCTATATAAGCCTTTTTTACAGGACGGGATGTAACCCGATAGAGGACACTGACCTGGGGTGATGGTAGAACATAGAACACTGAGGGCAGTGCCCCGTCGCTCATCACAGCGTACGCCTACAGTTTCCAATCTTTAATTTTTACTTTTATTTCTTACGGTTCTCACATGAACACTTTCCTGTATATTGTAACTTATGCCTTATAAACACATATTTTAATCCTAAATTACACACAAAAGGTAAGGTTCTGGTTTGCTAGTTCGCGGGTAAATTCATTGGGTTATAATATCAACGCCGCACACTCTAGGAGGGTACAAAGGACGCTCCCTTAAAACAAAAGCCGAATGTTCATGGCGTGGGTAGATCCACTTCACTTAAAGCTGTAATTAGGGATCCTCCTCTCACACATTGCACTATTTGAACACAGACATAAGATTCTCTGATCACTGTACATGTCGTGGGTATACGTCACGCGAGGATACGAGGTGTATTAAGTTCACACCGATGTATACAAGATATTTCCTTTCAAGTATAGTTTCTGGGTCACTTCCAACACCTCACATAGTTCTGATACATTTATCCTTTTTCCAGATCATTGTTCTCATGTATTTTCATATGATATTTGTGGAAGTTATGTTCGCTACACGTTCACAGACGTAAATAGTATGACCTTCAAACCCTGATCCACACTTAGTCCTACAGTACACTAGTCCAGCTCAACTGGACTTTCCCAATCATCTTATGGATACCTGGAGTTCTCCTTAATGCTATGAATACATGCAATTAACATTATATAACCGTACCTGGGTACAATACAACACATGATTCAGTAACATTGAGTAGGTGAGTTACCCTTTATCAATGTTTCCCGTTCTCTGAGATTCTACAAGCGCTGTGGATTTGAATGTTATGGAGCATAATATGAATTAAAGGGGGTTTTTAGGAATGACAGTGATGTGCGCAGTACAATAAAAGTCAATTAATATTTTTCCTCTCATTTTTATTACCCAACCCCCTGGTACTACTTCCTGTGCTACTTTCCCTTTCCTAACTTATGCGTTAAAATCACTCATAATCATCATACATTCATTAAACTAAGCTTCGCCAATTAGCGGAAGTCTCGATTTCACGTGATATTGCTACACATACTCAGGCTTTTGATTTTGAATTGATTAGTAGCAAAATGACAAGCCATTCAAGGTGTATTCTTTTTGTGAATAACGTCGCTGCTATTGACTTTTTCAAGGCCAATGGTCTTCTACAAACCTCGATAAAGTGTCCAAAGTAAGGTGTTGACTACCATTTTCGTGAAGATAAACACGTTTGATTTTTCAAGAAACGACGCAAAATCGCCATGACCAAGGAGGTTTTCCCGCACACAGGTGGGTGGAGCTTCACTGACGTCACAGAGTGGACTTTTGCACTCCCTCACCCTATCTCTCAGCCCTTACAAACAGAGCATTTATAGTTTCACATTGTTATCTCTGTATGTCGCCTAGAAAATAATACTAGTCGAGTGTCTAATCTTGCATTCAACTTTAGCTAAGGACACCAATTAATGCAATGGAAGATGTAGAATATATATGCAGCAACAGGGAAATGTTAAAAGAAAAATTTTGCATTGTAGTTTTAGCTGTCTATTTAAATAAGAAGTGTAGCTTAAAATTAGTTAATTATAACTATTCACACAGTTGCCTACTGAAGTTTCTTTCTTCTCTGTTGCGCTCATTAGGTTAATAAAGAGGCTGTAGACGTGAGGTGACACGAGTAATGACCTCACATGACAAATGTTACCGCCACTGACACCAGATTATAGGGGGAGAGTGTTAGTTGAGGCAGGTGATCAAGGGCATAAAGGATATCAGTTGCTTTATCGTAGCTCCATTCTTGTGCAACACTTGTTCCATCAAAAGATAAAATACATAGACGTTCACGGTCATCCATTGATTCACTTTTACGTTGCAACAGCTTTAAAACTGTATGCAACACCCCTGATCCCACATTGACCTTATAAATCCAACGTTGCAGTGTACTGACAGATGGAAAAGGAATTTACTTTTATCATGCAAGTAGCTATAAGCTTTCGGGCTTAATCTGCGGAGGGTCAGTGCTCGACTGATATCTTCCTCCGACAAGTATATTATAGGGATGCTAGTCAAGAAAATATTAACTTAAGAGGAAAAATATCCACTAAGAATATATTTAGTAACAATAGTAGCCTTAACAAATCAAGTTTATGTTTACATTCATATGGGAGATCTCTGAAGTCCCATAATTATTTTACTTATTCTTCTCAGTACCGGCTCGAGGGAATTCATATACATTCTAATATAAGCAGAATAAAACTGAACAGCATTAGCAAGGGAGAGTCTAACAAGAGCAAGATAAATAGTTGTAATTATAGCCTGTGTACTTTTGTTACACTGTTTCATACCGATGTCTTCCAGGTTTTAGTATATCGTTCTCTTCATAATACCATACAAAAGCCTTAAAAAAAATCACTATTGCTAGTTGTAAATACCAAAGAAATGGTTTGATCGACACAACTTTGAATAACTAGACTCACCTTGTGGTATTGGTAAAAGTGCAGTTGTGGACAAAAAGAATTCAGTAGGGAAGGAGGGAAGTGATGTTTGGCAGGGTAGGGGCAGGTGGAGGCTTGGCACCGTAACATACAGTTGACGATTAAAAGTCTCCGATTTTCTTTCCCCACCACGAATTATTATTTTGTTTCAATTATGAGCCAAACGCACCTTACACTCCCTACCTGTCGTGTTATTTTTGTCCGCAACTGTACGTGTTGGTAATGCGCCATCTTTGAAATTTATTATGATTTGGGTGCTGGTAGTCCAAGTAATTCAAATTTGAGGTTTCTCTCGTAGGCAGTTGATTCACAATAAAGACTCCATATCTGAGCATAAGCAGTACTGATGTTGTCTTTTCTCTTACAAAGCTTAATCCAACTGCATCTTAGTTATTCATCTTTAGGAAATGTATGGAAGTGTATATTCCCTTCCCGTCTGAACACAGAATTACACCCAATCACTGCACAATTAGCGGGCATTAGGTAACAGAAGACACCAGTGGCAATAGCCGACTTAGAGGGCGGCCTCTCCACGTGTCCACATTGTGACGTCATGAGTGAGTTGGGTCTCATATTGAGTCATGTGTGGGCAGACCTCCTCTTCTACAGACCTTGGGTTAGATTAGGTCAGGTTTCGTTAGGTTTTGTTTGGTCAGTTTTTTACATACTTTTACTCCACAGTTTCCCGCTACTTCAAAGTCATGGCCACTTTGTGTAATCAAAATTGCTGGTAGTATCTCATGTCCAATAGAAATGTCTGTGTTCGTCTTGAATACCCACAAATGTTCTATGCTACTGAAGGTATACATAAACACTTGTTATCTTAAAAGTAGGTTCTATTCTCGTATGGGAGATATATATACAGGGGGACCCAGGAGCTCACTTCCGCACTACAAGGACTGGCTGTCTTCACTCTCTCTATGTATTACTGCGCGCTGGCCTGTA